GATGATCGCATCTACACGTACATCAACCACCACACTATGGCGGTGATGAACCCGTATCGATTGTTGCAGACTGCTCGGTTCACGTCAATTTACGATCCAGTGGGTCGTCATGCGGAACATGCCTGTCAGTGAGGTGGAAGATGACCTCACACGAGCGATGAGCAAGCTTTGGTCTGTTACTACGAAGGCTGTGAAGAAGTGCATGGAGGGTATCCCAATCAGGGTTGGACGCAAGCTGGAGAAGGAACTCGGAGCGCTCTTTGGCTTGATGTTCGACGGCTGGTCGCACGCGGGAGTCCATTACGTTGGACGCTATGCAGTGTACGAAGCAGATGGCGAGGTTCGCGTGCCGCTTTTGGGCTTGTCACCCCTTATGGATGGTGTACAAACGGCAGATGCCCACATCCAGATGTTCAATAATATTCTCGACGTCTACAAACAAGACAGAGGATATGGTGGGGTTCCTGGTTGGGGATAACTGCAGCACAAACCAGTCGATGGCGACCAAGATGGGGTTCCTCTCGTCAGCTGTGCCAGCCATCTGTTTAATCTGGCAGTTGGCAAGTATATCGCACCGCATGAGGCTTGGCTGACCGAAGTGCATGACCTTATGGTGGAGTTGCGCAAGGAGAACAACCTTGCCGAGCTCAAGAAGCACACGGAGCTTCTACCAGTGAAGCGCAACGTCACGCGTTGGTCTTCGACGTTTGCTATGGTTGAGCGCTACGTTCGAATCCGTCAAGATATCAAGAAGGTGGACGCCGTGGAGGAACTGATTCCGACTGATGGGAAACACCGCAAGCTTCTCGCGTTGCTCGAGCATCTCAAGAAATTTGAGAGCGTGTGCAAGAGGCTTCAGCGGGACGAAACCAACATGGCGGATGTACGGCTTCTGTTTGACTCTCTCGTTGCCGAGTACCCTGTCATGGGTGAGCACTTGAAAAGTGCAGCCAAGATCGTCCATACACCAGCGTTCGAGGCTGGTGTCGTCAAGGTAATCAACGGCTCAGCGCTATCGACGGCAGAAACGACAGTATTGAAGAGGTTTGCAGTCAAGAACATCACAGGGAAGAAGCGGAAGGAACGGGAAGAGGACTACGCGTCAATGCTACTGCAGCGCAAAAAGAAGAAGACATCGTCAAGCACTGCCAGGTACGTGCAGCTTGTAAAGCTGACCCCCCACCACCACCACCACATCGAACACCGTAGAGCGACTGTTTTCGCAGTGCAAGCTCGTTCTGACACCTCTACATGATGCCTGCGAATTTCGAGCAGCTAGCATTCCTGCGAGTCAACCGTGGCCTGTGGGACGTTACCACGGTTGCTAGCTGTAGTGAGGAAGATAGTGTGTAGTGTTTAACTCAATAGAAATATCCACGAGTGTCTGGCACATATACAATTATCTTTTCGACTTCAATAAAAAAATATTTTTGAGTGCCAGGGGTGAAAAATGTAGCTAAAACAAATCGTACATTTGTAGCCCCACATTTCAGCTATATGATGCATGTCGTAGATCTTTCTACTTGTTAATATTGATGAAGAAGCTGCAATTAAAAAATGAATTCACACTGGTCCCTTTCTAAAGAGATGTGCAATACATTATTATATTTGACATTTTTTCTAAAGTAGTAATATTTATTTATAGGCTCACTTCAACTTGATGTGCATCATGACCATTTCCGATTGTAGATTCCCAGGAAGAGCAAGCGCCTCGCTCAGATCGGCCGCCTAGCTGACAGCAGGATTCAGCAACGCCCTCAGCAGCGCCCTCCCCAGCGCCCTCAGCAACTTCCTCAGCAGGTTCGCCAGGTGACGATGGCCGAGCTGGTGGGCGAGTGGACGGTAAGTTCCACTGTAATTGCCACGGTTGCCGACGACACCTCCTCGGCGAGCGACGGCTCCGAGTTTGTAGGCGAAGACCTCTTTACTATGGATATTATTTACGCTAAAAAGATGGACGCAAGAGGAAGTGCATATTACCTCGTCTCCTGGGTTGGTTTCGAACGCCTGACGTGACAACCGGCTGCCGATTTGCCTCAAGACACGCTGATGCGCTTCGAAGCGCAAGAGCTAGGGACCGCATGGCCTGTTGATTACAGAGCCGAAATCCCAGTAGGTGCGGACACAGGAATGGGTGGAGGAGGCAGGCGAGCAAGACGTAGTTAGAGGAATAAATTAATGAAATTGCGGCAATATTTATTATTGCCTTCCCAAGAAATTGAAATATGTATTACTGTGCACACTTCGCACCAATTCAGTTTTATACTGATACGGCGGAACCCTGGTTCACGGGGGTCTGCACATGTTGTCAGATTGTTGATTTTTGTCGATTCCTATTGATCAATAGCCAAAATGTAACAGAAAGAAGTCATTACACGCAAGCACGAATTTCCGGCTCTTAAGTACAAATAAAACGGGGTTTTAACTGGCCGTAACTCGAAA